TCTTTAGGTACTCAATGCAAGAGATGTATGATGTGGTAGCCAACGTGGATGACTACAAACACTTTGTACCGTGGTGTAAAAAGTCCCAGACCATCATGAAAAGAGCCGGTCATGCCAAAGCTCACCTGGAAGTGGGCTTCCCTCCGGTTGTTGAGCGATACACTTCAATGATAAGCCATGTCCGTCCACATCTGGTCAAAGTAAGCCTTCTGTGTGCTCTACAACATCATCACTGAAATGAAAGGAAACACAAATTTTGTAAATAATTATATTCCCCATTTCAGGCAGTGTGTTCAGACGGTAAACTCTTCAATCATTTAGAGACAATATGGCGGTTTAGTCCCGGTATTCCTGGCTATCCTCGCACATGCACTGTAGACTTCTCTGTAAGTATCATTTACAAACGTTTGCTTCCAGTTGACCCTTCGCTAAGCTCTACCCCGCTTGGTTACTGTTGCTAGGCCTGACAAGCTTGCAGAATGTAAAACAGAGAGTATTCATTAATATTTTGAATTAGTTGTTTTATATTTTTCATTTTCATTTTGGTATGTTTTAGTAATTTTGTTGTGTTTTTTTGGCAGATTATTATTAAATATGTCAATTTAGCTTTTATTTTTATTTTAGTTTTAGAAGTTTTAGACATTTTTGTTGTTGTTGTGCTTTTTTTTATTGGTTTTATTGGTTTTTTTCTTTTTTAAATATGTCTGTTTAGCTTTTATTTGATTTTATTGCTGTTTAAGTTTTAGTAATTTTGTTGTTGTTGTTGTTTTTGTTGGTTTTATCAGTTAATAGTTGTTGTTTTTTATGTCTGTTTAGCTTTTATTAGTAATTTTAGTATTTCACCTTAAACTGTGAAAATTAGAAACTTGCCAACTAACTGAAATAAAATAAGTTTACATTTTTTGTATTTGATTTTATTTCACTTAACGTTTTTTTTTTTTTCCCAATTCATGTTATTAGTGCTGGACAACAATTAATCGCATCCAAAATAAAACTTTTTGTGTACATAACATATGTGTGTGTGCTGTGTATATTTATTATGTATATATAAATACACACACATGCATGTATATATTTCAGAAAAATATGTTATGTTTATATGTTAAATATATTTATATATAATATAAATTATATGAATATAAATATATACATGTAAATATGTTCAAAATATATAATGTATGTGTGTCTTTTTATATAAACATGATAAATATACACAGTACACACACACATATAAACAAAAACTTTTATTTTGGGTGCGATTAATCGCGATTAATCGTTGCCCAGCAAGATAAATAAATACATAGTTTTAGTTAGCGATAACACTCAGTGTTTGTTAGGAAATAAACTCACCATGTCTCTTTCTATCTGGATGTTTTTGTTTTTCCTCAGGTCTCGTTTGAGTTCCGTTCATTGCTGCATTCGCAGTTAGCGACTGTGTTTTTCGACGAGGTGGTGAAGCAGATGGTGGCGGCGTTTGAGCGGCGAGCGGGCAAACTCTACGGACCCGAGACTAGGATACCCCGCGAGCTCATGTTTCACGAGGTCCATCAAACGTGAGGTGCACCTTCACACGGGACACACCTGCATCTGGAACTCCCAAAACTCTTTCGATGGTTATCACATGACAAATCAGATCACTAGATTACATCGGGATGGTACAATAGATACCATTTTCTTTTAGAAAAAGATTTCAGTTCATTTGAGGTACTGCACCTTAAACGTGTATCTTTTTTTTGCTTTTTGACTGTGAATGAAGATTAATTGATTATTGCAAAGTTAAGTTGAGGTGAAAAACTTGGACGTTTCACTACGGTTTCATCTGGTTTACTCATTCAGTCCTGTTGTGGGTTTATTGGGGCCAAATCTGACTTATTACTGAAGCTGAAAGGAATATTGTAGGTGAAGTCTGTCGCACACTGTTGATTACCACACAAAATAGTTTTGATTTGTACCTCAGCTTTTTAAAACAACAATAAATATGTACAGCACAACCGTTGTTTACTTTCCCCTTGCATATGTGCAGCTGTTTAATATTTTTAAGGTTTTAAGTCAATATTATTTTCTGTGGTAATCAACAGCATGCAAAAGGCACAGATTAACCCAGAATAGTCCTTCTAAAATTAATCTTTATATAACTAGATATGAATTCAAATTGCTTGAATTTGATCACGCTCACAGTGACCTACTTGACTTCCACACTGCACTGAATTTATAATATTCATCTCAAGAAGTCACACTCGGAGGTGTGTGACTCCAAACACAACTGTAAATATAATAAATATGAATTATACAGTTAGAGTGACGTCAAATATTTCTCTCACCTAAATATTTATCCGACAAAAAACTTTGTTTATAGAAGTAGTGTATTGTAATTAAGGAATTACGAATTGTATTTAGCATGCTTTTGCTTTCTTTGGATGCGAACTCAGGGCTTTAGAGATATTCAAATGAAAGAAATATACAGATTCGGCCTGTTTTTCCCTAATAGTGATCCCAGTGTGTGCCTGTTCATGTAGATTGTGCCATTTCTGATTTGTTGCTACGTTAATGTTTAAACACAACTGTATTTGTGTATTGTTTGTGATTTCCTGAAAAGCTACAGTATGAGCTGGCGAAGCTTCAGATACAAGCATAGCGGACATTTTTCTCTTTTTTGCAACATTTATTTTATGAGGTTTTATTTTTAGCCATTTCAATGCCTTATCTAAGTGCTCATGGCATTTATAAATGACTTCAAATAACGTAATTGTCAAGAATTGTCCATTGATAATTTATTTGTGCTGTATCAAACACCTGTCTAAGAGTCTTCCGTGGAAATAATGTCACCGTTAGTAGATTTCTAGGATTTATCATATAAAGACTTTTGTTAGATGTCTGTTAAGTGAGAATGTTTGGTTGAAGAACTGTGAATAAGAACCAAAGAGATGAGAAGTGCTTCATAAGAGCAAGAAGAGCACAGTTTTAGGAACAAATTCTCTCTGAAATGAATGTTCTGTTCAGTAAACCTTAATTCTCTGTCGACAGGCCTGTCGTCAGTGTTATAATCTTGCACAAGCATTTCTTTTAGTTTGAGAATCTATAAATTTATTTCCAAACAAATTGTTGTGTCTGTTTTACTTGAACTGCTTGAGATTCACCAGGAGGCCGATTTCCTGCTTTGAATTATAACTTGATGTGCACTATTTTGTAGTTATGCACCGATAGGATTTTTTGGGGCCGTTACCGATTTTAACAAACACTTATTGGCCGATACCGATATTTGTCACTTCCTCTCTTATTTTAAATTTTGGCATCAAAATAGATAGTATTTTGATCATGTTTTAAATCGGCAAAGTTCAAAAACACCTGCATTAAATTATACTAGCAGTTTTATTGCTGCATCATCAAATAATTTCTAATGAACATGGATTGGATCCATTTAACATTCAGCAGGCCTACATAAATACAACAGAACAAAGATACATATTAAATAAATAGTGCTTTTTAGGTAGGTTTAACAGTTTTCAGGTACGGAAATAAAGTAAACAAATGTAAAATAAGACTTCACTGTATAAATTGAATACATATTAATCCTTCTTTATTGTAACAGACTTTATTATGATTAATCTTCTAATTTGTTTTTGTATACATTTGAATGTTTTTGTAAGTTTAAATATGTATGAGATCTCCTTTACCAAGGCGGGACTCTTATTTTGACGAGTTTTCTAGTCTACGGAGCTCAGTGTTGCCAAGTCCGCGGTTTTCCCACGGAATTGGGCTACTTTAATAACACTGTTGCCGCGGCTTTAAGCGACCCCAATAACGTGATATTTAGCCCCTAAAATGCGAATTTTACCGGGGAAACCCCACCAAAAACGTGTATTTTACCCCACCGGAATGCGATTTTTTACCGGGGGATCCCCCTCGAAACGTGATTGGGCTAGTTTTGAGTAGCAATTGGGCGGGTTTTGTTGTGAAAACCTGGCAACCCTGAAGGAGCTATATGGGTAATAATGAACTGTTTTTTTACAGTCTATGGCAATGAAAGCACGCAGTTCTTCGGATTTAAAGTTTGTCAGTTTATTAAGCACCCCCGAAAAGACATGAGATCTGTATATACAGGTGCATCTCAATAAATTAGAATGTCGTGGAAAAGAGAGTTTAATGTGAACTTCTCGTGCTGTGTTTTGTTTAGCTCTTATGGTGATTTTTTTTGGAGTGAAAAAGGACGCAATAAACTTAAAACCTCAGTAAAGTTTTGGTCATCATTCAGATGAGGTCCGCTACACTTATGAAAGTTACAAAAGTTATTTAGTCAAGAATAGTGTGCGATCTTTTGTTATTTGATTAGCATTAAAGTGCAGACAGCAGCGCTAGGATTATGCAACAGACATTATACAGCTCAATGCCTTCACAAAGTTAATTAATAAACCATCGGTTTGTTATATCAGCCTTTTTCCTTATATAGCTGATATGCCGATGGTTGTAAATTGAGGAAAAATCGGCCGATACATCGGTGCATCCCTACTATTTTGTCAATGGTTTTTTACCTCAGAGTGGTAGTTTTATGATTGCTAATCAGCTGGGTTACACTAGAATTCAATGTTGAGGAGATACACGAGTAACTTACTTGTGAAAACGTAACAGTGGTGCAGTACCAGGGAACAAAGAACACAAAGTGAAACCAGCAGTGGAGGTTGAGGAAATCTGAGGAAGGTGGTGGTATCTGGGTCATGTATTTATAACAGTGTGAGAGACTATAGTGGAGTTCCTTATTCATGCTTTCCTGATATGTAGATCTTTTCCACGCAGATCCTTACACCAAATTGATCCAATAAAGAAGAATGACCATACTTAGATCTTAAGACAATTCATACAGGCCATAATTTGAGCAATAACTATGTTTGAGTGCACATCATTTACAGAATAAAAATGTAAATTCTGACATCATTCACTCAAGGCATGTCTTTCCAAACCAGTATTTATTAATTTCCTCTGTGGAACAAAGATATTTTGAGAAATGTATCTGTTTTGTTTTTTTTTTATCCAGTGCAGTGTTTAGTATTATTTATATACCATTATAATATTTATATAACATTTCGAATTTGTTTTGTTTTTTATATATTCATTTTAAAATGTTATTTTATTTCTGTTTCTATATAGCGTTATGTTTAATTCAGTTGGAGTAACTTTAGTATTTCAACTTAATACTTAATTTTTCTGCAAGTTGCCCAGGCAATATTTTTAATTTTTATTACAATTACCGAAAACTATTTCAATAGTTTTAGTTAACAATTACAACACTGCTCCATTGTTTTTGCAGAAAAAGTCAGTTATTTAAAACTATTGCACAGTGCCCAGATTACTTTAATTTGAATATTGACTTTCCAAATACATCACAATTATGAATTGTAAAGCAATATACCAAAAGGTTTCATGGATGCTAAAGGAAACCACTTCATGAAACCACAGATGCCAATAAAGAACCTTTATTTCTAAGAGTGTACTCTTATTTGTGTTTCTAGTAACCAGAATTTTGGCTTAGGTTAATAAGTTTACATTGGCATTTACATTATGGACAGCTGAATATTAGTATATGACCAAATTTGGTTAATATCAGAGTAATCTTGTGCAGTCATTGAGTGAAAGAGTTTCATGTAGAAAAAAGAAAATGCCTCAAGGGTTTGTTAAAAACATTTATTGGTTTTCTTTTTTGTCGAGTTTTCACATTTTTTTCTTTTTGTTCGCCTAAGCTTCTTTTCCCCAATCAATCCAGACCAAAGCACCCCCATCACCCCCTCCCCCCCATTCTCGTTCCCCTCCCCATTTCCCCTGCTGGATCCGACTTCAACCAACCATCTCCATATTCACATTCCTCGTTATTTAAATTAACCCGACATCGCATAAACCAATCATGTACATCATGATGAAAACAGTCACTCTGGAAAAGGGCACAGCAAACCAGACAATTCTTCTCACGCTATTAGATAAGTGGGAAATGATGATTGGGGGAAAAGTGCCATCGAACTAATGGAGTGCTTATGGACGGACTAGCTAAAATAGCTGCTAGATTATCCCAAAAAACAACCTGAGAGCAAGCGTGCAAGAGAGCAGGACCCGTGAGCGTCACAGCAGTACATGTACAAGTCATGTTTTAAATTATATTAAAGGTATAGTTTACTGAAAATAAAGGGTTTAGCGAGTCATTACAGATAAGTGGTTTGACTAACAGGGATGGCGAGACTGTTTTGATATGCAGTTCATACATTCAAATCTATATTTACATGAATAAATAAAACCACAACTTATGTATACCTACACAAAATGATAGCTTTTCTCATTATACAAGACATCATTCTTCAAAACACTGGGGGGAAAAAAGCCCTTAAAACTCAAAACAGGTAAAAAGTAGCAGATTTTGAGCGCTCTTGGATGAATGTACAAATAAATGCCACAAATTCGACTTGCTCTCATGTTGGTACACGAATCACCTGCGACTACAATAACTTGTGTGAATGACACAAACCTTTAACAAATCAAAGCCAATATGTCCACTGATGAAATAAAGAAAGGACTGGTCATTTCAAATAAAGAGGGCACCACACGTGCTTCCAAACAACAGACAGGAAGATGAAGACGATTGGTTGAAGTCAGAGAGCAATATGAGAGATAACTTAAAGGGGCAGTACCCTTTTAAACAAATGTATAAGCTTCCCAAGTTGAACTGAACTCATAGAATCAATTCTATTGAGAGAGGACCGTATTGCCATCATGGAGTGCTCTTACAAGGAGAAACTAGAGGGACGCCTAGTCAAACTCTGTCGAATTATCTGACAGGCTCAGAGCAGGGCTTTGACAATTCATTTCCTCGCACAAACAGAGGCTCAAGTGAACATCTGACCTCAGGAGAGTAAAAATACAAGACTAAAACTGATATAATTGATGTGAGAGCCGAGGTTAAAGGGATTATTTATCTATTAGGTGAACTAACTTTTCTGAACTAGTATTTAATAATCATTATTAGTTTAAATAAGGAGAGAGGTGATTTCTGGAACGACATATCGCTCTCGGCTGTGTTCTTGGACAATAATACATCCATAGCTGCATCATACGGTCGGAGAAATTTGCGGGAAAACTTAAAAGGAGCGATCGCAAGCAGTGACTGTGTAATGCGTCTACACATTTCTCGTGAAAAAGCAGCTTTAAATGTGCATTTTGGGAATGAAAGACTAATAAACGTGCAAATGGGATGTGTAATCTTGCTGTTATTTTAATAACAAAGGCCCTTTTTAGATGAAATTTAAAAGTGTACTGTCTCTTTAAATCCCTTTCTAATAGATAATAGATTATGCTCTTCCCCTTCCTGTCCCCACTCCGCTGGCATGGTCTCTTGCTCTCTAGCTTGATTTGGCCCCAACCAGAGCCATGAGTCCGTCCGTGCTCATGGACTTGGGACGCTCCAGAGGGAAGCCGAGCGCTCTGCTCCACACCAGCTGAGAGAGGACACCCAAAGCTCGGGATACGCCAAACAACACAGTGTAATAGTTCATCTCACTCATGCCATAATACTGCAAAACACAAGAATAAAAACAGGAGATGATGAACACAGCAAGCAGAAAAAATATGTAAACTGTATAAATAGAAAAAGCGGGAGAAAGGAAAGAAATTAATGTGATATTAGTGCAACCAAATATTCTATGTTTTTTTTTTTTTTATATACGTGACCCTGGACCACAAAACCAGTCATAAGGGTCAATTTTTTGAAATTGAAATCATCTGAAAGCAGAATAAATAAGCTTTCCATTGATGTATGGTTTGTTAGGATAGAACAATATTTGGCCGAGATACAACTATTTGAAATCTGGAATCTAAGTTTGCGAAAAAATCTAAATATTGAGAAAATCGCCTTTAAAGTTGTCCAAATGAAAAAGTTTGATTTTGTTGTCCTTACTAATCAAAAATTAAGTTTTGATATATTTACGATAGGAAATTTACAAAATATCTTCATGGAACATGATCTTTACTTAATATCCTAATGATTTTTGGCATAAAAGAAAAATCGATAATTTTGACACATACAATGTATTGTTGGCTATTGCTAAAAACGTTTTGTGCTCCAGGGTCACATATGGTCAGTTTAAATAAAGGTTAAATATGTTTAAATAATTTTATTAATA